TTTTAAAGAACTTTTCCTAGTTTTGTAGAACATATCTGTCTTATAACCTAAGTTTCTAGAATACTTTGTGAAACTTCTAGCATTGTGGATTATCCTACCCCTAGTGGCAAACCAATTTTCATCTTCTAAGCTCTTTATATCTCAAGGACAAGTTATTTTCTTTTTTCTTTTATCAAATAGTGATGATGTGGGGTGGTTTGCATGAAAGCCAAACCCATAAGGTTTATGCTAGCCTAGATGTATAGCTCACATGATGGACTAAGAATTTTCTTTTAAAGAAATCAATGTGCCCATGGCTTAGGGCCATGGGCTTATAAAGTTGCTCTACAAAGCCCAAGTCTAATAAGTTGTTGACTCGAGCTAATGCCTACAAATTTAAGCCAGAATTGTTTTTTTACAAATCAATGTGAATCCAGCTTTTATTCCATGGGCCTACTAATTGCACTAGCATGCCTAAGCCTAGTAGGTTGTTGACTTAGCCTAATGTCTACAAAATTATGCCCATCTCAGAAGTCCCAATTAGTTGGTTATTAACTCAAGTGGAACCCACTTGATTTGGATTAGATTCTCTCAGTAAAAGCTTTGATTGCATTCTTGGTATTTGCTGGGGCTGGATCCTAAGATATTTCGGATAGGAATGCAAAATGTTTCAGTAAGACAATTTTAAGAGATGTATTGGGATACGGTTTTGATATGCATGGATATAGATGAAAAATCAAGGTGTGCATGGATACACTAGAAAGCCCAAATAAATCCTATAAAATATATTAATAGTTATAAGTGCAATCTTCATATGATAAGTTATTTAAACATAAAAAACCATACTTCAATTCTTTGTATGTGTTAAATATTGAAACACAATTGGTGACCATTGAAAAATGACGAAAGAACTAAAATTTGTATTAATTTTCATAAAATTAATATAATTTTTATAAATATTTTTTAGTATGTAGTTTTTAATATTCAATTTTAGCGTTAATTGACAAATATCCATAAAGAAGAGAAAGTTTGCTTAAGGATAGAAATGAATACAATTATAACAAACAATTAAAATATGGTATAGTTGTGAACTTGTGATTATAACAAACAATTGACTAGGGTTGAAACCTTCTTATTACCTATTTGTAGTTTTATAACTAAGGCCTAAAGGGGGTGTTTAATGGCATGTTTAATGTTGTCTTAAATGTATGATAGGAGTGATTAACGTTAAGGGTGCAACTTGGGCAGGTCCAGCCCAAAATTTTACACGGGTTGGGCTTGGATTTTTGGTCCTTGGTTGGGCTTGGGCCCAAGAAGTTGGGCTTTTTTATTTTGCAGGCTGGGCCCAGGCCTAGCTCTTACGTAGCCTGAGCCCAGCCTGAGCGAGCTTGATCAAACTATACACATTTATATATATGTATATATGTAAAATTTGCATACATATTTACACATACATATTTTGCATACATATTTGCATAAATATACATATATATGTATAATTTTACAGTATTGACCAACCTGAGCCCAACCCAAGTTTATCATATTATAGTGCGAGTTGGGCTTAGGTTGGGAAAATCGAGCTTGACCTCAGGCTCGCGCCTTAAGCCCAAATTTTAGGGCCAGGCCCGGGTTGACCATAAACCCAGCCCAATCCGCCCGACTTGCACCCCTAATTAATGTTCCCTTAAATGTAGGAGTTAACATTTGAAATTGAAATTTCAATTTAAATTAACATTAAATATAGGAGTACCAAGGATTAAAGTATCGGTATCAGGTATCGTATCGAACCACTTGGATACGGATACGCTTTGGAAACGCATGGATACGGATGAAAAAACATGGAGACGCTTGGATACATCAGGAAATGCATATAAATTCCATAAATATATTAATAACATTACATTTAAGGCTAAAATAGTCAAAATAAATGTATAAATGCATAGAAAATGTATATTCTAATGGTATTTGTGAATAAATATATTACAATTAATATAGCGGGATGCATAGAAATCATGCAATTTTTATTGATAATGTATCAATCTAGAGTCCTAAAATATATTATATAAATTTTCATAAATTAATACATGTACAAAGCAATTATTTATTTTCACTTGAAGTTCATGTCACAAAACACATGCAACTATTATATGTAATTATTATATCAATTGCTTTTATTTTTATATTTTTACATTTTAACATTAACTAAATAATCAACTAAAAATTAATTCTCAAATGTTTGGTAAACAATAAAAATGTTATTATAAAATGTAATTAAAATATCAATTAATAATTTATAAAAACATATAATCTTAAATTAAACTCTCTCAAAGATACTAAAATTTCTAAGATACATATTGTATGCAAATTCATAATTTTTAATTACTAAACTTATTATATTATTATTAATATTATTATTTTTATAAATTTTTGAAATAAATTGTCATTTTTGTAAATAATAAATATATTTTTATTTAATGCAAATTAAAATATTAATTAATAATTTATAAAATTTTTAAGATACATTTCACATTCAAATTTATAAATTTTAAGTACTAAAATTATTATTCTATTATTAATATTTTTATTTGTATAAATTTTTTGAGATTAAAAACCTCTTTTTGATATGAATGCGGATTTGAGAAATTATTTACTCCATTAGTTTATAAAATATTAAATTTAAATAATATTATTTAATCTTTACTTAGAATTATTGAACATAAATATATGTTATTTGTTAGGATTACATGTAGGCATTAATAAAGAATTATTTTGCTTCACTTTTTAACAAGGGCTAACGGTTGCCTTAGTGGCATTCAGACGTGTTCAAGTCTGTGCACATGCGCGATGATGCATATTGCTCCGATACGGTCTGATTCAGAGGACCCATCTGTTCGTAGCGTTTCCCGTATCTCTTATGATCGATACCGATACGATACGCCCCGTATCGGGCGGGGCGTACCGTGTCGATATTTAAATCCTTGAGGAGTACTGATGCCTTAAATATAGGAATTAATATCAAATATAGCAGTTATTAAATGAGAGAACCAAATTAAAGTTTCAATATAATCCAAAATTCCCAATGTATCAATCAATATACACATTGTATCGGTTTGTATTGGGCCAACTATGGAATTCTATGTGTTTTCCATATCGGGTCCTTGCCTGAATGATATTCATCAGCCCGTATCAGTTGATAAATTGTAAAATTTTAAACCTTGCTTAGGATCTATCTTTATTTTACAAGCTACACTTAACTCAGCTTTAGTTCCGACCATTTGGGGTTGTCTACACAAAATTGTCCCACTATCATGCTCTATCAAGAGCCATGTTTTTTGTCCCACTATCACGTGAATCTTGTTTTTCCATTCTGTTATGTTTAATGCCATATCCACTGTTAAATTATTGGCACTTAAATCATTTCTMTATACTTCTATTCATGTCCTTTTTGGTCTACCCCTAACCCTTCTGATGTAACGGTTTCTGGTCACATATCAGTTTTTTTGGCTAAGTACCTCGTCAGTTGGTCTACTCCCAAGTGGCCTGTGACTCATGGGCTGAAGTGGAGCTCCCTAGTGTAGTGCAATCCGACTGCTCCCTAGAGGAGATGATTTTCTCCTCTTTGTAGACGGTGGGAACTGAGGGATCTGCGGGAACTGAATCAGAGAACCCGGGGGTGTTTACCCGGCGAGGTCACTCCGATGGCTAAGTCAGCACTTAGTAGAGCTGAAAATGATATAAGAGAATGAGAGAGCTAGAGAGCAGGGATTACCTCTCCTTTCTCGCCCCTAGGGGGTGAGGCCTTTATATATTGGAGTCCTCGTGGGTTTGGTGGAGCAATTCCTGGATTCCTGCTGTGACGGGACCTGCTTTCGTGTTAGGTGGGGATAAAGCCACCAACCGGTAAGGTTGCCCATTTCCGCCTGACTCGGGGAGTGGGTGAGCTAATATAGCCGTTACAAGTCACAATCCCGTAAAATGCGGGGTACGGTGGTGAGCTCCGCAGGGTTGTCATGCGGTGGTCGGTCTGACTAGGAGGCGAGCTGCCCGTAAGTGGTGAGCTGCTTGTGCAGTGCTGAGTTGTCTAAGTTGCCAGGCTATGAGGGCGAGCTCGAGCTGTCTAGTTGTCAAGAGGCTGCACTTAGTTGGCATGAGGTGCCAGGTGTCATAATGTCATTGGAGGGCCAAATCCGCCCTCATCACCTTCTACCCCTTTAACTTGCAACAAGTCATTTCTTTTATGGGTGCTGTTGATTGTCTTCTATGCACCAAAATACCTGTTACCATGAAAGCCGACATTTTCAAGGTCTACTGCATGAATCATGATCATTCAGTTCTACTTACAGGCATAAACTACACTATAGCATCCCCTATTAGGAACTCAGTCTGAGGCCATTACCCAGTGTTGGTGCCAGCTATTGGGAATCTTGGAAGGGGTAGGCTGGATACGGTCCTTACCTTCAGCATTTTTTCTTTTCTTTTTTTTTTGGCAGAAAAGTGGACACTCTCAGAATTGAACCCACATTCTCATGCTTGCCAGCTTCAGATTTTGCCATTATTAACAACTTATTCTCCAATACACAAATCTATAATATTTAGGGCTTTCAGTTGAGTCTAAAAGTCTGGAACTCTATCCGACAGCCAATCTGAATCTGACAATTTCAGATTTGGGTGATCCATTTACTTAATCAAATTGGATTTTAGAACTTTCATCTGTTTAATAATTGGATCAGATGCAGATTTGATTCCAATCCAATCTTATTAAAATCTGGTGATCTGGTTCCAGATAATTTTTATAATATATATTATATAATTATATATGCGCACAAATAATATATGAAATTATTTAAAACTTATAATTAAGAGATTCAATATTTCATATTTATATTATACTGGGGATAAAAATAAATTTTGCTCATTGTGAAAACCACGTCACCCTGATTTGATCGTTTATGTGCTAAAACTTTGTGTCTACTCATCACATTATCTAGTAATTTGTATGATGTCTTCTTTTACAAAATCAGGTACTCCAAAGAAGAAGGGATTGCCATTGAAGAACTTGGGAACAGGAATTTTACATATCTTTTGAAGTGAGTAGTTCTCAATGACGTTTCTTGCTTATTATAGTGATTCACCGGATCCTTGGCCTTTTTTTTTTTTTTTTTTTTGCTTTTTTTTTTTTTTTTTTTTTTTTTTTTTTTTTTTTTTGTTTTTTTTGGGGGGGGGGGGGGGGGGGTGGTAGAAAGTGTCTTCGAGATAAGCATATATGTTTTTCTGCATGCTTCATATGAAATATATTCCTCTGTCAAGATTTCACGTACAAATATGAAGGCAAAGCTTGGGTTTGGGACACAGGATGCAGTGCAATTTGTGGGCCCATATTATATGCAATGTGTTCCATGGTCGGGGGATCAGATCCTTCATATTTGTATATGTGGTGGAATAAGGTCCTCTTATAATCAAGAAATACACTGATTTGCTGATGAGATGATTAATATTCATCTGGTCATGCTGATTTAATTTCTTCTGTAGACAGCCTATTAAGTGGACTGGTTTAGTGGTTGGTGCCAATCTTCTGAACCTACTGATATGTGGTGCAAGTTTTGAATGCTCCATACTGCACTACAACCTGTCTCCCGGGACTGAAGACATTCCCATTTCTTTTGTATGGCCATTGTTGGCTGTTTATTGTTTATTATTTATTTTGAGGTTTATGCTCCATAGAAACTTATCAGTTGAAAACAAAGTGCTTCTGTCTCATGATGATACTAGAGGACTGTATTATTAACCGTTTGGCACCAATCATTATCAGCCAGGTTTTGGACACTACTGGGATCAGAGTAGTGCAACTGCAATTATATTAGAAAACTTTATTATATCCAAGTTTTATAATATTTCTTGCCAGTTTTCTTCTATTACATAAAACAAGAAAATATATACATGAACTTGTACATATTTGTACATTTATCCATAGTGATACTAGCAGTCAATCACTAAATATGAAATGGGAGTCATCTCATGCATGGGGTATTTATTTCTTTCTGTTGCAGTGAGCATCCCAATGTTCCTGGGTTCAAGTGTTTATTTGCTGTAAGCGGGTTCTCAAGGGCTCATCTTCATATGGGACTCCCACCCTTTTTACTGGTAAAGATCGATCTTTCTCTCCTAGAAGTAACTCTGTGATAGCAGGAGTTAATTGACTGCTTTGTCATGGGCACAGCTGAAGGAGCCAAAAGTATTTATTCATGGAAACTTGAGAAACCTAGACATCATGCACATGCAATGGCCAGGTTGCAAGGTATGTATTTATACGTCTCTCTCTCTCTAGTTGAAGTTAGATGGGTGAGAAGTTCTTTACGTAGACTGTCCTTAATTTTGATATTTGTATTAGACAACTAGGGATTAAAAGATGGCTCCAAAAGTTGCAAAGAAGATCACTATCAAGATACAATGACCTCAATCCCTAACTGCTATCCCCAGCATCAGAATAGAGAGCTAACCTAGTATCCAGTGGCGGTTCTTGCGTAGCGATGTTGTTGAAGAGCTTCATCATTTGAATATAATTCCTTTTGATGTGGCTGAGAGATTTGTCTAGGTATGAAATCCATCCATCGTGAATGTACCTATTATGGTTTAACCTGTATTTGTAGATGGTTCACAATTTTTTAGTTAAATTATTGCTCTGCCTTACCTTTTGAACGTGTATGCATATTAGTATTGTGTATGATACGTCTTATGCACTCTTAGGGTGGTTGCATCCTTGCTTGTGTTTAGGGTTGCAACTTGGATGGAATGGGCCCAATCCGTCCTAACTTAAGGGTCTGTTTGATTTGCAGCCAGAATCAAAATTGGAATAGAAATCCTTTGGAGTTAGAATCGGAATGGTCTATTCCTGCTTGTTTGGCTCAGGCTAGAATAGGAATTGGAATCAGAATTGGCTGGATTGGGTTCTCATTCCGGAGGGGGAGGGAATGGTAATCGGGAATGCCATTATGATGGGAATAGGATTCTGATTCCCCTATTCTTGCAAACCAAAAACAAAAAGATCCTAAGCTTTTTTTTACTAACTGGGCTTGTGTGTTGAGGCGTTGAGTAGCCTGAGTCCACTCAGACAAACACATATATGTATTTTATTTTTATGAAAATATCTTTTTTAATTATATACATGTATAAATATGCATGTGTACATATTTTCAATCTCTTCTGAGTTGGTTTAAGTTCGAATTGGACCTGAATAAATAAAATTTGGTTTGACCTTGGGTTGGGCCAGTTCCAAGCCTGAGATTTGCATCTTAGAGTTGGGCCTTGGTTGACCCTCAACCTGAATACCTGATGCATACCACCCAAATTAACTTTGCTTCTAAAGCTGGATTTTGCCAGGTTGGTTTTGGTGTTATCTGTTGAGCTGATTTAAGATTTAACAGCTCGGTCATAACAGGCCAAACCGAGCATAACAAGAACCACATATAAAAGATTACCTGAATAAAGTAATATTATTTCTATCTGCTCGGCTTTCTGGGTTTAACTTGTTCCATCATACAGTAAATTAGTGTGTACCCCAAGCCTATCTATTTCCACCAAGTATGTCTGTGGTTCTTGTCAGGACCCCAAAAGCATTCGCTATGAGGTTTTCACACTGTTGGAATTTTGCTGTCATTTCCTTTCACTTAGTGGAGAGGGTCCAATGCATGAATGCTCAGGTTTCCTAATAAGCAGCACAAGCGTCTTTCATGGACCAAGAATTCAAGTTAGTGAGAATTCATGAAGATTACAAAAGAAGTTATGACATTTCTTTCTCTTAAGGCACGCAAAGAATAGTTGTTTCTTTCCCCCAAAATAAACCCAATGGCTGAGAAAACAAATTTTTAAAAACAATCAAACAGCTGAATTGGTGGGACACTGACAAGGAATGTGAAATTTCATGGATGAGTTCAAAGAGATAAGAGGGACATCCAGGCTGTATTGCATATTATAATCCAATGCCATCTGAAGGCTGAAACCGTGTAGTTACTTGCACAGATAAGCCATAAAACCATGTGTGAAATCCTAAGGCTGCATTTGTTTGTGGTTTAAATAGGGATCGGAGTACTTAAACATTCCAATCCATATTTATTGGCGTTTGGAAAGAGTGTAGTTAAACATCAAAAATCGATGTAAAATTTCACTTGTGTCAAGTTTTACATCAATAATCGATGTAAATACAATATTGATAAAGACGATGTAAATATTTACATCGATAATCACACTTTCCAGTTTACAATGGTTCATAACTTTTAAACCGATTGGTGTACAACTCAATTGGCGTACTTTTACTTTTACACCACATTCAAAATCAGATAACTCAGATTTTTATGTCAATCATCTGATGAGTTGCTGGATCAAAAGAAAAGGTCGATGCAAAACTCAGGCGTGGTGAATACCGTGTTCTTCATGACACTTCCTCAGAAAGAAAGAGTCATACAAAGACCCCATAGTAGGCTTACATTTTGCTCGTCTGGTAAGTGGTAACAAAGCTAACAATCAGATTAGTGGAATATAAATGGCAAACCAAACTTGCTTCACCAAAGGTGACTGCAAAACAACTGAATCATAGAATCGAGTCAAACTCAAGCCTCCTTGATTTAAGAAACTTCTGTGTCTGTCCCCATAACAATCATGCTCAACTTTTTTTGGAGATAGATTTATCAAAATTCTAGGTCCTCTTGTGCATCGTCCTCATGCATAAACATGTACTTGCAAAAAGTAGCAAGCACATGGAAGATCTTCACACAAAATTCATTGGGGCCCAACCCAATTATGATTGCTTTAAGGCCAAATATTAATGTCGAAATGTGATCTCAACCATTAAGTTTCAATATATTCCAATTGGATGTAGGGAAGATTACCTTTTTCTTTAAACCCCAAACTTTACTCCTGGTGAAGGGGTGGCCACCGAAAAATTTTATTAATAATAATGAAAGAAACCTATGGGGGGACATAAAAACCTAAGTTCATCATTTGGAAAGGAAGTTCTTCTGAGAATCCCAATTTGCAAAGGAGACCATTTTAAGATTACAAGAACTGAATTACTTGTGAGTAGCAAAAAAAAAAGAAAAAAAGAACTGTATTATTTCTCATATTTTAATTTAACCAACTTGATAAATCCGTTTTAGATTACAAACTTGTGCTTTCAAATGGTATAAAAATTTTAAATTTCTTTTCAAATCGTTTCCAGTCGCCCACTTCATCTGCCTACCCTATTTGCAGTCATCATCCTGTAATAGCTACCTTTTAAGCTTTAGGAAACAGAATTCTGAAGATATGAAGACAGAGACAGAAGGTTGAATTATTTGAGGAGAGAACATCTCTTTCATTTGTCCTTCAACCAGATTATTGCCCCTTTTTCCTCTTATAATTTTCTGTGTATATACAGCCAAATTAGATTATGTTTGAACCGCACTAGCAGTGTTACAACTGCTATATAGTGCTCTCTCCTCATTGTAGAGAATTGGTAGCTAACCTAAGGTGGGTCCCACCTAAGAGATAGCCTGTATAACCGTTTATATTTGGACTCCATGACAATCCTTTTCACCGTCCAAATAATTTAGATAGCAGTCATCTGATGGTGTTGATCTTTAGTGAGGCACTCTCTTAGGACTTGGGATCTCTTTCTCACAAGAACTCTATTCATGCCTACCCACAAAATACTATCTCCAATGCATTGGGAACATTTCTCCGTGCATAATAATATATAAGAGGATGAGATGTTCTTCATGTGTGATTGCGATGTTATGTGAGTAAATGTGGATGGAGTTTCGTGGGTAGAAAACCCGGACTCCTCTCTCACGTGGGATGGGACCAATACTAATGAGGAATCCTGCTTTCAACAACTATAAGCCTGATGTACGGAGATCAGAAAATGTCATCAAATGACTCTCACCCAGAGATGCCATTCCCAAATGATTAGCGATATCACTTGATTTTTATCCACCTGATGATATGATTTGTCCCCTCCTAAGACCCCATATAGGTGAGACATAACATTGGGTAATTGCCTTTTTTATATGATTTGTCCATGGAGAAAGAGGTGAACCGATTGGATCAGTTAGGGTCTTCTTTAGAGAATCATGTGGTCAAGACAAACCATTCAATGCTGGGTTTCCATCCATGGGACGAATGGCAGCAAGAGTAATTAGCACACCGTTTCATTGCAGAAATGGTATTAATCTTCTGAAGTATTTTCCTTTTTCTCTTTTTCTTTCTGAATTTGTTAAGTTTTATATTTTTTTAACCAAACTGTTTTAAACCCTAATTATTATTGTATCCATTTCTCTTGATTAATTAAGTTTGACTAACAATAATCATAATCAGGGTAAAGATTTACTACTTTTAAACTATAAGAAAAAAGAAAAGGCAAGGAAAAAGTCATATGTGGTTTATTTTTAATTTCTAGAAGACCTATATCCCTATAGTGCCATACCTCTAGTAAGGAAAAGGACTAAAAAAGTCTGGTTTCAGAGTAGTGGAGACATATAGTAGTATTTCTTAATAATAAACTAATAATATATAGATATAGAAAAATCTATAATGTGGGAAAGATATGGTATGGAAAGAGTTTTGACCAATTAAAACCCACCCATGAATTTTGATAAATAATACTTAATTGGCTATCAGATTTTTTATTCCAATTGATTGATTAGAAGTCTTTCAGATATCATATCTTTCCCATATCATAGTCGAACCCGATAGATATTCTTTTTTAACTTCATTGTTTTAGTATWAGTAAAGTACACCTGGTGGAATACATACAATTGGATTAGAAATTTTTTTTTTTTATTTGGGTAGGTTGATACTTGATAGAATACCACACAAGTCTCCACATTCAGGAACTGCAAGTATGTAAATTATTTCAATCTAATGGATTTTTAAAGGGTCTACATTGATACAGTCTCTGTCAAACAGGTGCAGAGACTGAGATTTCAATCCAGTGGTTTCTTGGTTGCAGGTTTAGAGAATTGGTGGTATTCTACTCTATTCTATTCTGCTCCAACATCTTTAGACTTTAGGGTGGCGATGGAAGTATTATAGCATATGTTACAAAAGTAGGGTCTAGTATCAAGTAGATTCCAATCTGATGTGAGAAAAGGGCCCAGCATTACATTATCAACTGTGTCATAGCATATTTAGGTCATCTATGAATGCAACAGAGAGAGAGAAGGGCCCAATTGAGGTGAAACTTCACCTAGAAGATCATGTGGTGGGTGGGCCAGTGCAAATAGTGGGGTTTCAAGAAAAATATTTATATTCATATTTATATTTATATAGCCTCCTTCCTTGAAGCCTCTTGCATCCAAACCTTTTCTGTACTCAACTTCTCCTTTCCTTCCTTCCCCTTAACAAGTCCATTTGGCCGGCTGTCATATTCGGCCACATGTCCAGAAGTACCGCGTGAAGTTGATATTATCATTTTCATTTCTTTATATATATCATGGTTTTCCATGAGAATTAAATCCTTTTGGGTTGTTTTCATTTTCCAAGTTACAAAATTTCACAATTTTTTTTGCTCCAACAAGGCAAATAAAATTTAACAGTTGAAATATATTTGCTTGTTCTCAAAAGAGGGAAAAAAAAAGATGAATCAAACATGAAAATCTGTGAGGGAGTACAAAGTTAAGATTCATTCTTTTCTCGCTTCTTTCTTTTGGTTTTGGTTTGGAGGTGAAAGTGATTGGGTTGATTTTTGGCGACCTTGACCAAATAAATACTT